TGGAATGAGGGACCTTTCCCCCCGAGTTTTGACCCCCCAGCCATAATGTGATAACATTCCAAGGAATTTAAATCCATCTGTTGAAACTAAGAATAAGAGCTCATCCCTTTTCATTACCCTGAGGTTAAAGAAAAATATGGTTTTTGTTTGTTGGCTTGTTTTGTTTTTTATTAGTGTGAGGTTAATATAACTTGACTGCTCCCCGTAAACTAAGATTTAACCAGCCTTGCCAATTCATGGACAAATTTGAATTCTTCCCACTCATTGATTAATTTTGGACCAAGGAAATAAACAAAAAATCCTAACTATGATATTTTACTTACATATCTCTGGGGAAAAAAAAATCCCATGTCAGGATCTTTCCTAATATTTTTGTTTTTAAGATCCATGAAACTCAAAATCTAAACCGAATCGGTCAATATTTAGATTACTGAAATTCTTACCCAAATGATTGAATTGCCTCACAATGGTGAATCCAAACCACAGACATTCCTATACATAGTGTCAGTTAACTTTCACACAGATAGTATTATCACCATAAAGATATATTATGTGTGTCAACGGAAATAACCAACTCTGCAGAAATAATAATTAGTGTGGATTGTTTCTAAACACAAATGTATGTGACTGACCCAGAGAAAAGTAAATCTGCCTTTCTCAGGGTGCTCAGGTCTGGGGGTTCCTTTTATTTAATTATGAGAGCAAGAGACAAAGTTCGGAATTTAGTGAAGAGTTTTTCCATTGGCAGAACATATGGAAGTCGGGGTTGGGGGGTGCTTGTAAGTTATAGGTGGGCTTTATAGTTTTTAGGTTGGTGATTGGAAAAAGAAGGAAAGTTTGCTGATATCAGCCAAAGAATGTACTTTAAGAGAGATAAGGAGGCTTAATATATATCACAAAGATATTATCCCAGGGACACAATGTAGGAAGAGTCTTCTTATCAGTGAGTCCAAATAGTCTTCTAATGTTTGTGGGCATGACTTTCCAGGCCCTCTGGAAAGGATTTTGGAAATAGGAAAAAGCAGTTAGACCTTTGTCCTCTTGGGTATTTAGAATTCTCATACTAAAGTATATCTAAATAGGACCCAAATAATAATATTGAATCCTTGTTTAAGTATTCTACATTTTAATTTTATAAAAAGTTATTAAAGGAAGCCTCTGGGAAAATGTTCTGTGTCATCAACATATTCTTTTCTCTTAGTCCATTAGCCTCATAGAAAGGGGAAACCCATCCAGGAGCTTGGAGAATGTGTGTCGCTGGGCTGGCCAACAACAAAAATCTGATCCCAACCATTCTGAACACCATGATCACGCAATTTTCTTAACCAGGCAAGACTTTGGACCTGCTGGAATGCAAGGTATTACCATTAATACGTAAAAGAAAAACTTCAGGGAACAATTTTCAGAAGTAATCCCAAATCAGCTATTCTCTTCAGACGCGCAGGTCCTCACCACGCTTTTCACCACACACCGGCCAAGCATGCATTTTCTTTCTGTTGCTTCCAGCGACTTCTGTGCCATTCACAATGTTAAATGCCGCTTAAAGGCCATAATAAACTATATGTGCCTTTAAAGTAATGGTTGTGTATTTGGGGCGTGGAGGGACTGCTGTAAAATGCAGAGTGATTTCCACAAACTGTTTGGAAAGGAGCAGAGATGCCATGAGAAATGACCACTGCCAAAGAGCTTTCTTCCACAGTCAACTTACATTCATCTAATACGTTCCGATGTAGACTTCGGAAAAAAGCAGACTGATGATTTTCTTTTCAACGGCGATGGAATTTTTGGCTCTCTTCATCAGTACCCTGATATGAAGGACCATTTACTAAAACAATGAGACAAGGCTTAGCTGGTAGGCAGGATGGAATGGCAACCCCAGGCAGTGCCTTCTCTTGGGAAAAGCGAAAACGCAGACCCAATGAATCTTTTTAGAGACCATTACCTGTGACTTTCCCAGGAGAAAGTGGCACAATGCTAGCAGGGAAATAATGCTGCCCCTGTTTCTTGAAAACTTTTTTTCCCCTCCTAGGCAAAGTTCCAGTAGTAATTCTTAATGGATTTTCTCATAAAATGAAAATTAAAGTAATTGTTATTCTCTACAGGATACGCTCCAGTCACGGGCATGTGTCATCCAGTGAGAAGTTGTACTCTGAACCATGAGGATGGTTTTTCATCTGCTTTTGTAGTAGCCCATGAAACTGGCCATGTGTAAGTCATTGTTGACAACTATAAAGCAAAAAAAAAAAAAAAGAAAGTCTTTTCTTTCCTCCTTCTCCCAGTATTGTTTGCACTGTAGGCAAAGTACATGCCAGCATGCAATTCTCATCCCTTGCCAAGTGTGAGGAGCTGAAAACAGCCAAGAGGTCCTGCACTGAAACTCAATGAGTGGCTCTGGCTTGCAGGGGCACTCGTGTGCTTTTCATAGCCATGAATAAGAAAGGCATTTCTCTGAGGCTGCTCTGGACTTTAGTGTCTGCGCCTTCTCTAAGAAAGCCTTGTTGACTTGGAAAAATGCATTATTTCCTGGTGCTTCTTTTCAAAACAGAAATTAAGCAAGAGCTGTAGTTCCTCTATTCTTACCAGCGAGGTCTCTTTTGTGTTCTAGGCTGGGGATGGAGCATGATGGACAAGGCAACAGGTGTGGTGATGAGACCGCTATGGGAAGTGTCATGGCTCCCTTGGTGCAAGCGGCATTTCATCGTTACCACTGGTCCCGATGCAGTGGTCAAGAATTGAAAAGATACATCCAGTATGTTCCCTGCTGCATGTCTTGAGAGTATTTATGTTATCGTTTGCAGACTTGAAACTGACCCTTAGGACTTGATCGCAAAAAAGTTCCCAGTAAACAAAGACTGTTGTTGATAAGAAACATGTTTTCAATGGTCCAGAGCATTTAACACAATAGTTCCATATGATGATCATGATATTTTAAGCCATAAGCTTCAAATTTAAGTAAAATTTTTAATTGCGATACGATTCCTTTTTAGCCAATTCTTTATAGAATCTTTGTCTAATGTTCAAACGTGAGTCAAGGATGAGGAGAGGACATGATTCCTGAAATTACATCACCTATCTCCCATATGTAGGTGCTAGGATCTGCCCTGCCACGCCATTTGGGGGTCCAGCTAGGGACACGAGTAAGGCTGACACAGAGCTACTGCAATTCCTACCTCATGCTGGCTCACTTTCCTGCGATGAATAAAGATAAAGGGTCATCCTTAAGTGGAACTGAAACCAAAACACTTAAAATGTATGCTTTTGTGAATTTCCTCTATGAGCCAATGACACTCTAGAATATATAAGCTCAGAGTAATTTCCCATTAGGACATGATTAAAGAAAAGAGTCAATGTTTTAACTACATGTAATATTTTCTTTCCTACAGTTCCTATGACTGTCTCCTTGATGACCCTTTTGAACACAATTGGCCCAAACTTCCAGAGCTTCCTGGAATAAATTATTCCATGGATGAGCAATGTCGTTTTGATTTTGGTGTTGGTTATAAAATGTGCACTGCGGTATGTTACTCATGCTCGATGTAGCTATTGTATCTTAAAATGCGTTTGCATAGCCTGTTTGGGAAGCTTTACTGACCCTCTGGTACAAGTGTTAGAATATCTACTAGTTCAGCCACAGTAGCACAGGGTGGTGCATGTGCCACATAGTAGGCAAAGGCCATATGGGAGGCCTGGGTTCAGTTCCTGGCCTACCCTAAAAAGCCAGGTGCAGTGGCACATGCTTGTAGTCCTCTCTAGTTAAGAGGCTGAGGCAGGAGGATGGTGACAAAATGCGACCTTATCTTTAAAAAAAAAAAAAGAAAAAGAAAAAGAAAAAGAAAACTACCAATTATTTTGTAATTCCTATATTGCTATATGCTAAAGCTAAATGCTTTAAATATACTTTCTTATTTAATCTTCATGAAAGCCTATGAGGGAACTGGTTCACGCTTACTTAAAGAAGAAACAACCAAGACTTGCAGAGGTTAAACAACTTGTTTAAGTCACACCTCTGATAAATAGAGGAGCTGGCTTTGAAACAAAGGCTTTCAGGCTATGCACCTTTGTGTTGTATTCCTCCCCTGGCTTTTGTGAGCTTCAGAGATGACTTATAAGCCACATGTGAATTCCTTTTCTTTAGATTCATGGCCAGTATTCCATGTATCTGTGATGTTAGAGAAGGATCACGTGGGTATATCTTTATAGGGGAATCATGTGATAGTGCATTGGGATCAGGAACATGGATGCCATAGCAGATACCCTGGATCCGGTCCTAGATCTGACTCCTACTAATCACTTAACCTTGGGATCTTATTTAATCTCTGGGGCTTAGTTTCCTCTTGTGTAAAATTTGGATAATGATAGTATTTCTTTCATAGTATTGGTGTGAGTATTAAAGTTGATAATGTAATTAGCGTGCTTAGTACAATGCAGGCACATGGTAAATGCTCAGTGGAATCCATTAAACCTGATCTTCCATGTAACCATTCATATTAGAGATATGTTTTATTAAGTTTCCATGTTGATCTTTGGTAGTTTATTAGAAAACAAAAAGGAAGTCCCCCCACACACACACACACACGCACACATACAGACAGGTAGACATTGAAAAAAATTTTGTTAGTTAGAGGAAAAGAAATATTTCATGGTACTGATAAAAATTGATCTGTTGTTTAAAATCTTCCACATAAAATCTTCCGTATATGGCCATTTGGGGTATCTGTAAGATTTATTCTGTGAGCTCTGCATTAGGTTTTAATTCTGAGAAATCTAAAGCTTTGGGTCAATGCCATGGAAAAGTGTAATTTCTCCAGTAAGTAATAGGGCTTAGAATGAAAAATTCAGTATCTAATAATAGGTACTATTAATAAAAAATATCTATGAATACGAAGCTATATATGGGTCACTGGACGTGTAGGCAGTAAATATGTAGGTAAACCATTGTTTGATATTTTTTTAAAAATCTGTTTAAAGAATAGCAAGATATTTACATTTAGGGAAAAAGTACAGATGATAAAAGAGTGGACCAAAAATATGTGTGTGTCTATATAAATATTTGGGTATTATAACATGGTGTTCTAAGAAAATAAGAAACATTCTGAGAATGAGATTCTTATCTGGCTCTGTTTAGTCTTACTTGTAACCACCACTACAACCTTACTTTATAACATATTTGTCAGCCATGGATTGGTGTGGGTATCAAATATATATGGAAAATACATTATCAGCTACATGAACAGATTATGATATTTGTTACACCTAGAGTACCTTATCTTACACAGAAATTTTAACAGTTTTTTTTTGCTTTTCATCAACTAGTTATTATGAGTATTTTTATTTATATCTAACTAGTTTATACATGTAGTGATAGAAAAGACACATTTGATAGCTTGACAGCTGCCAAACCATTATAATAAATATTCATATTTAAAATGTTCCTAATAATTTCTCTTTTTTAAATGCCAATATTGTTTGTTTGAAAACTAGAAAAGAGAAATGGCATGCAGAAAGATTGAAAGTTAGCCTCACAATCTCAGACAAATTGTTTATCAGCATTATTTTAGAAATGCAGATTGAAAGTATTCTCTACTTAGAATTCTTATGCAATAATGTGTTTTTTGTTAACATGTCACAACTTTGACTATTAACTTGAAATAAAAATACCCAAGAACATGATGTAAAGAAAGTGTATAGAATGTATTATTGATGCAGGCATGCTCCAGGAGCTCACTAAGGGTCTGATTCTCCTCCAGTTCCGAACCTTTGACCCATGTAAACAACTGTGGTGTAGCCATCCTGATAATCCCTACTTCTGTAAGACTAAGAAGGGACCTCCGCTTGATGGGACTGAATGTGCTCCTGGAAAAGTGAGTATATCTGTTTACACATGAAGATTTAAGATGTGTGGTATAATAATCGCCTTAAAAAGTCTGAAAAGTGATGACCATAGCTATATTGTCAGCTTTATAAAAACCATAATATGTGAGGTTTCATTATGGTAATTCACTAAGATAGTGTACTAATTTCCTGTAGCTACTGTACTCAATCACCACTAATTTGGTGTCCTAAAACAATAGAAAATAGGGCCAGCAGGTGGCATGGGGTTAGGGGCACTTGACTCCCACACGACAGATCATAGTTCAAGTCCTGGACCTGGTGGTTTGTTTTCTTACTTTCTCTCGCTCTCTACGTCTTTCTGTTAAGTGTGTGTGCCTGTAGCAAATTAAAAATTATTATAATAATGAATAAAATGAAATTATTCTTTTTAAAATAAAGCCAAAAATATATATTCTTTTATAGTTCTGGAGGCCAAAAGTCTAAAAAATCAGTTTCACTGGGCTGAAACCAATGTGTAGGCAGGGCCTGACAGTCCCAGAGGCACTAGTGGAGAATGTCTTCTTTGTCCTTTCCAGCTCACATCTCTGTCTCTGTGGTCACATGAGTAGTCTTCCTCTTCTCTGTGCCACACCTCCCTCTGCCCCTCTCTAACAAGGATACATGTGACATTTAGGGCCTACTTGGATAATCCAGGATAATCATGCCATTTTCAATCCTTAACTTAATTCTATTTGCAAAGACCTGATTTTCCAAATAAAGTAACAATTATCGCTTCAAGGAATTATGAGCCAGGATCTTTGGGACCACTCATTACAGATGGAATAGACAGAAGCAACTCAACACAGTAACTGGCTCCCTGCAAGTGAGATGTGATTTACTTGCTGGCCTCCCATTCCTTGTGAAAGTTGCCCAGAAATAAAGTCGTGAACTTGCACAGAAGATTTGGCTTTGCTCCTTGGGGAAAGATGTCCAGAGGTTTTAAATCTTAAGTTGTGTACTCAGGATTGAATGCTTAGAAATGGGCTGAATGCCAAGCTGTGCTACTCATAAGGGCAAAGATCCCAAAACAAAGGCATGTTAAGAACTCAAGTTGAAGAGCCCTGACTAGTTTAGAAATAAGATACCATAGACAGGATGAAAGCTGGCAAAGAAGATTTACATAGTTTTTAGTTCTTTCAGAGCTTGATTTCAAATGCGTATAAGTTGTACTGCGATGAGATCTATATGCATGAGAACAATAAAACCTGTCCTAGGAAGTGTTTGCACTCCTCTAGGCACTATGTCAAGTATATAGTAGACAGTATCATACCTTGGAAAAATTCAGTATTACAAACTTTTGATGAAAAACACTAAAAGACAGAGTAGTAACAAGTTGATTCATTTTTTCTTTATAAAAACGATTTCTTATAGCCAACTCTTAGCATCCAACTCCCCTAAATATGTTTGTTTTATTTAAATTGATAAAAGTTGAACAGGCGTGGAGTATAAGGGGCCAGCACATGGTGTAACAATTAAGGCACTAGACTCCCACATGACAAATTGTAGTTCAAGTTCTGAACCTGGTGACTTGCTTTATCACTATCTTTCTCTCTCTATCTCAGGTGAGTACATGTGCCCTATAGAAAAACTTCAAAAAATAGTGAAAAATGAAATTAAATTTTAAAAAGTTAAGTATAAGAAACTTTTTATTGTACATTGTATGATAAAGCAATTAAAATGTTGAAAATAGGGGATAGCAGGTGGCCTCGTGGTTAAAGTGCTAGACGCCCACATCGCTGACTGTAGTTTGAATCCTGGACCTCTCAGCTTGAAAAATCATGCCAGGATGTGTGAGTGCAGGCCCAACAACCTGAGAGGAGAATGGAGGAGAAGGGACTGTGACATGGCCAATCCTCCTGGGAGGTGATTTCTCAATTTCCCTCTTTCTGTCTCTATCTCTGATGAGAAAAATAAATAGTAGGAATGAAAATAACTAACATGCTTTGAGCATCTATTGTATGCTGCCACATTAAACAAGATGCCTTTGCAGTATTAGGGTTCTAGTAGTTCCACTTCATTACTTTTTGGTTGGAGGGTGACTTAGTCCATTTTTGCATTGCTAGCAGAAATACCTGAGCCTGGTTCCTTTTATAAATAAAATAGAAGTTTATTTACTCTTTATTATTACCAATAATTCTGGTGACTGGGAAGTCCAAAGACCTAGGCATGGGCAAATGGAAGCAGAGGATGGCAGGCATATACAGAAAAAGAGAGAAGTTCTGCTTGATCTCTCTCTTCTAACAACCAGCTCTTGGGAGAACTAAGCCCCTCTCATAAGAGCTAGAAGTCATTGAGTCTTGAGAGACATCATTAATCCATGAGACTGTTACCTTCATGATACAATCACCATGGACCAACCACTGCCCACTAAGCCTCACCCTCGAGGATTTATAATAAGGACAATATATCAAGTCTCAGTACATGAATTGCTGACATATTCAACCCATAGCAGATGACCTTCAACTAGTCTTGAAACTTTCTGGACCTCTGTTTTCCTCAACTAAAAGTGAAGTGCAATTTATCTATCACTCAGAATCACTGTGAATGAAAGTTTTAAAAACTGAAAGTGCTCTCTGAAAGCAGGGTATATTTTGGATATATTATGTAATTATTTTCTAAGTGGAGTCATATATTTTCAGGTCACTACTTAAAAGGAGAAAATAGTGCTTTCAAAAACTCTGCTATGATCTAGGTAGTGAGTGATGAAGGGCAGAGTAATACCTATTGTGCAAGTTGGGCACTCAGAAACTTTTTGTTGATTATTATTTGATACTCACTGCTAAATGTATTATTTAAAAAGTGAGCGAGTGAATGCTATTTTTAAAATTTTTATATTTAAAAAATGCACATCTAAATTACTCATCTTTCCAGTATAGCATCTTTTTTTTTTTTTTTTTTTTGAAGAGGTTTTTTGCTATAGGGCACGTGTGCTCGCCAGACAGACAGAAAGCGAGAAATCACCCCAGGGGGGATGGCCATGCCGCAGTCCCTTCTCCTTCATTCTCCTCTTGGGATCCTGGGCATGCACACGCATGCTCCGGCGTGAGTTTAAGCCACCGGGTTCGGGACGCAAACCGCGGTCACTACATGGGAGTCCAGCGACATAGCCATTATGCTAACTGCTGGTCCCCAGTATAGCATCTTAATGGTATACTTGCTTTTGGATAATTTTAATGCATCTTCACCTGAAAAAAAATTTCATAAAAGAGAAAGAAATGAAGCCCTTTAAATAGGAGGAGGCTTCAAAACATTAACAGAAAATGTATATGATGAAAAAATTATGCATGCATGGATTTCAATATTCATGTCAAAATAAACTTGTACTTTAATTCCATTTTTTCCACAAACTTCTCCCTCCCACCTTCTCGTTTTCTTTTTTTTGAAGAGGTTTTTGCCATAGGGCATGTGCATTCACGGGACAGAGAGAGACAGAGACAGAGAAAGAAAGTGAGATATCACCCCCTCAGGGGGTGATGCCCAGGAGAGATGGCCACACCACAACCCCTTCTTCATTCTCCTCCTGGGATCTTGGGCATATTCACACATGCACCAGCGTGATTTTCAAGCCGCTGGGCCTGGGTCTCAAACTGTTGGAGTCCCCTCACAAGTAGTTCTTATGTAAAAAAGTTCAGCTTTAGTGTATGCTCAATTTTTATAATTTTCTTTTGTCATTGTCCTAAGTGGTGCTATAAGGGTCACTGTATGTGGAAGAATGCTAATGAACAAAAACAAGATGGCAATTGGGGATCATGGACCAAATTCGGCTCCTGTTCTCGGACCTGTGGAACTGGTGTTCGTTTCCGAACACGCCAGTGCAATAATCCCATGTAAGTATGTGTAATTGCGCTAACTTTCGTCATCTGGGAATAGATCTGAACATACTTCAATGTTATGTTCCCACTCTGTTTCCAACAGTGCATATAAAATACAGGGCAGGAAATTGAATTGTTCCCAGTTCAAAAACCAGGGTCTCTTTGGGATCAGTCTCTATCAATCTTTTTTTTT